CCCAGGCTGAAGTGTAGTGGTGTGATCTCGGCTCACTGCAACCTCCACCTTCTTGGTTCAAGTGATTCTCCCGTTTCAGCCTCCCGAGTAGCTAGGATTACAGGTATGTGTCACCACACCAGGCTAATTATTGAATTTTTAGTAGAGACAGGGGTTTCGCTGTGTTGGCCAGGCCTCTGTGTCACCACACCAGGCTCTCCTTGTCATGACTTACTACTCCTGACCATAAGTGATCTGCCCGCCTTGGGCTCCCAAAGCGCTGGGCTCATAGGCCTAAGCCACCACGCTGGGTCAATGTGTCTGTGTGTCTTTTAATGGACAATTCCTCCTTCTGAGTACACTGATCAAAGTAATCCCTTGAGGTAAATATTGGTGATGCCACAGAGGAGGATGCCACACTGTCCTGAGACTGTGAGTAGGGCTGGCACATGGTGTACAATCACAGGGTCAGCAACGGCCAGGCGGAGGGACAGATCATTCCCAGTTACTACTGAGTAGAGATCACAGGCCCTGGGACAAGTAGGTGGGCCGACTGGAGATCTCTTCCCCTTGTTGCTCTTTCTCTCCAATCTTTTGATTGTCTCCAATCTCCATACATTTCTGCATCTTCTACCACCTCTGCTCATCCTGTTAAATTCCCTCTTCTCTTTTATGCCCCCTTGTCCCCACTGTCTGGCAACCCCAGATCCCTGAGGTGGTTCTCCCGCTGCTCTCCTTGTCACCGGCTGCCCCCTCTTGCTGTCCCACCACTACTCTGCTCTGCCTGCCCTGGCTCCAAATCCCTCCTCCTCTTCCCAGCTCTGTCTGAGGAGCCTCCACCTTTGCTGCCCCTCTCCCTATCTTGCTGTCCTTCAACTTTCTGGAAATAGAACTTCACACTACATTTCTCCAGTTGCTTTTCTCTCCCTGCTACTTCCTGGGGTGCTTATTTCACTTTGCAAATATCTCACCCACCCTCTACGTTGCCGTCTTGGTACGGATCTCCCTCATTTCTTCTCTAAATTTTTCAATTTTCTCTAACTCACTCTCAATCTCTCCTTCACTACACAGTCACAGCAAGAGGACTGGAATAAAATGCCCACCTCCTCAATTCCAATGGGAGGCATTTGGGACAGAAGAACACAGGGTGCCCTAAGGCAGGTCCCGGCCACAGGATCAGGAGAGGCCGTGACTGCAAAGAGGCCTGGGGACAGAAGGGCCCGGCCCAAGGAGGACTGGGGGGGAGGCAGATCAGGGATGGAGTCTGCAGAATCTCCAGGCCAGGCAAGGACGCGGCCCTTCCTGAATTACGGCTGCGGCGCTGCACCCCAGGAGCCCACACTGGCGAGGTTTAGGACCCGGAGGGCGTGGATCCGCCTCGCAGGTGGAGACTTTACGTGGCGCGGGGCTGGCGGAGCGGTCACTGACGGGTTTTAAATAGAAAAACGGCGCGAAAGCAGCTGCCCACACGGCCCTATGGCAAAACCACCCGAGACAGAATCAGCCCCAGCGCGATTTTAACACACAAGGAAGCGACCCCCGGTATTCCGACGGGAGGTGTGAATTTGCTCAGGATAGAGGGAGCGGTACGAGGATTTCAAGATCTGTGCCGCCCCTCACATCCCGGGTACAGAAGCGTGAGGACACCACAAAGCAAACAATCTAAACAAAGGGAAACTCACGCGCCGCAGTTGCGCCATCTCTCCACGCGATCCACTTCCGGGTCTGCAGGAAACTGCGCGCGCAGCAGAGAGGCCAGGCCTGGGCGGGGCCAGAGTGGTGGTGGGCGGGGCCTGGAAGTGGATGGGCGGGGCTTGTGCGTCCCTCCTCCTATCTCTGGGCGTGTCTCGGTTTTCCAGGTTTTACAAGCAACACTTGCCAGTGAGGCTAGAGCCGCTCCACGGTTAGTGACCTGGGATCTCACTAGGAGGGTCAACATTGGATGTTTGGATTCAGGAAAGCTGCCACAATTAAAATTAAGGAATTCAATTAAAATTTAGAAATTTAGGGCCGGGCGCGGTGGCTCAAGCCTGTAATCCCAGCACTTTGGGAGGCCGAGGCGGGTGGATCACAAGGTCAAGAGATCGAGACCATCCTGGTCAACATGGTGAAACCCCCT